AAAGAGAAGTCTAAGTCTAAGTCAAAGGAACTCACATACCGTATAGACAAACAGTGATCATAAACCTGAGAAAAAAAGGTCTCTGTGTACATTTGAATGAACACAATGTAACACCAAATATTCTTGTGCAAAATATAGAGTTTATGGTGGGTTTTTTCTGTAACTTTGATTATGATGTAACCCAGAGATCTGTGTTTTTGGTTGTGTGGGCCTACGTTTGGGGATGTAGTGGTTCCTCAATAAAGCGGAACTCCTACGTAAAGACGTATTTGCTGACAGTTACTGCTTGGAGAATTCCCTTCGAGGGATGACATGACGACAAGAACTACATGAATGGTTTTCTTTCTTTTCTTCCTATATTTTTTAATTTCCTCTTAACAACTACTGAATGCAGATTGTTGTCTACTCACTACATGTTATTTTACTGTATCTGTTTCCCTATGTTGTTAACGCTGGAACAGGCCCACAGTCAGGCTGAGAACCATTTTCACAGACGTTATTTAGGACATTTATCATAGAGCTTGTTGAAGACAATAAAAGACACAGTCAAAAGACACTACGTAATGCTAAGATTGCGTCAGGGCTCTGTATAACCATGAGCCAATCAAAGCATTCTATTTTGGGCGGACTATTTGAACGTACCAAATTGCGGCTCACTGATTGGCTATTGGAAACATCACTCAGAGGGTGGATCGTCTCATGCAATAGATACGCTGTATTTCGATTTCAGTGGCATTTATCAGTGGATTGAAGATTGATTATCGATCTCAAGCACAAACTTGTGGTCGATAATGTTAGAAAATAAGTTAAAATGATACCAAAACATTAGGGTGTAAGCTTAATTCCTATCGTTAAGGCCGAAAGGGGCTGATTTCTACTTCTCGAAGCCAAGCCTTTGATTGGTTGTGCTATGTGACGTCGCCATGTGGGCGTGAGCGTTGTGAACATCAACAAAAGAGAGAAGAAGGAGAAAGGAGAAAGACGAGAAGAGCTCTACACTACAGCAGGACAGAACCAGATATGTGGATTTAATCTGCACTAACAGGTAGAGTAAACCTTTATAAATATATTAAAATACTATAATGTACTGACTGAACGTATTTGCGGAACCAACGTTACATTTTGCTTTACACTTATCTCGAAAGAGGAGAGAAGGGGAAAAAAAAAGAGCTGATGAAAGTGAACGGTCGACAATGGGACGTTATTTTACCCATAATCCTGATCAACAGGAGCCAATGACTCTCCAAAATGAATAACGTGTCTCTTTTTCTTCTGCATTTAATTTTCTATCAGGCAATTTCGACAGAACTCGTACAGGGAAGATGTTATTAAAGGGTATTCTCTAGTTTCAATTTCTGTAAGGAAATAGTGTCATTTATGGCGAGTGCTTCCCTTTTCTTGTCGTGGTTTAAAGATGAAAAACAACAGTTTGACGTTAGTTTGCACGTACGGTATCCTTCCTACAGCTGGAGATGTTTTTTTCTTCTCGTCTGTTATTCTGTTATTGGTATCCGCTCCATCCGTCTCCTGTTTTTAACACGGTTATATCCAAAAGGAGAAACCAACACAAGCTAATTTTGGTAGGTTTAGTGCACCCACAGTCCACTATAACGTGTAAAGCATTAGTTTAGCGTTGATAACCGCTTTGACAGTATCATTTGATAGACCTTTAACGTTTGAGGAATGAGAAACAGCAGCCCCTCCCCCGCTCTTACAGGGAGGATTTAAACCATAGCTAGCTGCAGCTAACGCTAGCTTTCTTACTTATCGTCAACTAAATAAAACGGTGAAGAAAGGAGGGTTTCCAAACGTGTGGATTATGTTTTTGTGTATTTTAAGTTGTTTATTAACAGGCAGAGCCTTGAAAAAAAAAAAAAAGCAGTTGTTTTTCGGTCAAGAGGACAGAAGGCGTCTACCAGAGGAAATGTGACACCGGAGCCCAGCTGAGGGAAGTGGGCTGGGCTCGAGCTGTGACCCCCGTTAGGGCTGAGAGCCAATGTAGGCCACTGCTGTACAGTAATAACACAGCCCGGAACAAAGACTCACCGTGGCTACCAAACACGGATATATATATCTATATAATGACATTTTAAAACATCGCTCGGTATTCTTCTTAATGATTTATAGATATATCTTAAGATTTGTTTTACATAATATGTGTGAAACTACAGGAGTATGACATTGTCTCTTCCATGGTTTCTTCTTACTTGTGTTACATAAAACAGAGAGAAATATTCTTGGTACTAAAAAGTAATTTTGGTCTGCCCTTTTGATGAAATACACTGGTATAATGTCAGAAACTGGGGGAAATGTTGTCCATGGTTTTCCAATGCCCAAGCTGACGTCCTCAAATGTCTTGTCCACAACCCAAAGATATTCAGTTTAATGTCAGAGAGGAAAACATGAATATTTGAGAAGTGACTCAAAATGATCAATCAAACGTAAGACATTACAAAACTGCTTGAAAGCATGAAACTTGATAGGGAGTACAGTTGTGATTTTTGTAGTTTGCTCACTGATGTGAACACCTGCTCCCTTCCCTTTTGCAGTGAAAGTATTGTGCTGAAAACAAAGACATCCCTTGCTGCAGTGCCAGAGACATGGACGCCTTCAAGCTGATGAAGGAGCTGAGGGTGAATTATGAGCAGGAGGCTCATTATCTCCCTAAAGAGACAGGGTTGAACCTCATCGAATCCACAATGCAGGTGAGCACATTGGACAAAAGTGGATCCACAGTAGATTTGGTACGCTGGGAACGTTCTCAACATAGCCCACATTTAGGGGTATAGATATGTTATTTTTGCTTTTGATTGACCTGTTTATCAAAGCTCCCCTTCAGACATGTATTAAGACATAAATAGTTGAAGCTGCAGCTGTAGGAACAGAAACTTACTTTTGAATTGAGGGAAACTTTAATAACAAATGGCATGTTCCAAGTCTGACTTGCTTTTCTAGTATGACCAGCATGCTTGCTTTTATGCCAAAATGGAATTAACCGGATGAATCAACTTTGTATCGATGTCTTTGTATTCCAGGATGACCGTCGGATCTCAGCTAAGTGCAGAAATGCCAAAGTGGAGGACCTTTGGAGTCTGACCAGCTTCTTCGGTTACAGCACGCAGACCTTCGTCCTGGCTGTCAACCTGCTGGACAGATTCCTGGCCATGATGAGGGTACGAGACATTCAAACCTGATACAGTCACGCACATTTAAACAGGCACTCTAGCTTTCGGTTTTCCTTTTATGTGGCTTGTAAAAGCCTGAAGCCTCTCCAGTATTTAAACAGCAGATGTAGAAGCAAACAAAAAGTAGCCTGAAGTTGGTATTAATACACGGTTGATGTACCCGGGTTCAGCTCAGTGATGTGAAATTGTCGCTCTACCGGTCGTTTACTTACGTGTTGTCCCCCTCAGATCCAGCCAAAGCACCTGTCTTGCGTCTGCCTCAGCTGCCTCAACATGGCGGCCAAAGTGACGGAGGAGGAGTGCAACCTGGCGCCCACCGACGAGCTCATCCGCATTGGCCAGTGCAGGTTCAGCGTGTCCGACCTCGAGCGCATGGAGAAGGTCGTCGCCGACAAGCTCAACTTCAAGTCCAAAGCCGTCACTGCCTTAACCTTTCTGCACTTGTACCACCAGATCGTACTTTCACACTCCACAGACAGGTGAGGCCGTCGCATACAGGGAGTGATCTGTAACTTCATATCCTGTAAAGTCCAGTCCAAAGCACCAGTTTTTAGATTGGTTAGCTTCAGTCCATTGTCATCTACAGCATGCCTTTTGCATCAGCTACAAACAACCTTTTTTTCTGAGTGTGGATAGTTGGAATTCCTTATTGAGGCTTTCAGGATTTGTTTCACATATCTGAATGTCAGCATAAAATACCAGAGTTCAGGTCAACAAAGATTTTCCCATGATCTGATTGGCAGAAGCTCTCCACACCACTGCTTGTTTGTCACAGCACTTGAAGTAGGGCATCAGTCGACTATCAGCCAACTTCGTCTGACTGAAGTGCACTGATAAGATTTGTTGTCTGCTGCCTCTGGCACCAAAACCTCACACTTGCAAAACCCCAGCACAGTGTATTGTTATTAATATGTCCGGCTTTAGTTCCAAACCCAACACACACTTAACATTAGATTTGCTTTTTAAAGTGTTTCTGAGTTATTATACTTTTGTATTTTTCATTAGTTTTTAGTTTAATTCAACTATAATAAACTTGGTTTCCACTTTCAGAAGTTTAAAAAGATTTTGCGTCTTTGGAGGCAACAGTTACACGGGGCTTATTTTCTATATAAACATATAAACGTGTTGATTCTGTCTGTTTCGGAAACAGCACTGACCTGACTCTCTGTGTGTGTGTGTTTGAACAGGAAGGAGACTCTGAGCCTGGAGAAGCTAGAGGCTCAGCTCAAAGCCTGTCTTTGCCGGATCTCCTTCTCTAAAGCAAAGGTAGGAATTCACTACAGGGGTCAACTGTCAGACAGGATTACAGCAGCTCAACAGCCTAATGACACAGTCCCAAATGAGACACTGAAACTCTGCTAACATGTTTCTGTCTGTTCTTCCCTGTCTTTTTGTGTCCATCCAGCCCTCCGTCCTGGCCTTGTCTCTCCTGAGGCAGGAGATAGAAGCTGTTCAGTCCAAGGACATGTTGGAGATAGCCTATCACATCCAGAGACACTTGAAGGTAAACACTACATAAGTTTATTACACAACAACCAGGGAGGGAAAGTAACACCTGTGGGAACCCCATGGAATGGAAAACAGAGGCACCGACACTCACAGCAGCAGCTCGGGGCCAATTCATTTCAGAGGAGCTGAGGGTCTAAAAGTTTACTTTCATGGAGTCGAGTTGGCATCGGCTCATAATTTCCTGGATCAGATACAAACAGGAAACCTTTTGAGTTTCCTGTTTGTATCTGATCAGAGAAGCCGTAACTCCACACACATTTACATGACAACTGTATTAACCAGCCATACAGCCTGCAGGCTAACTACTAGAGTTGACACTCCAGTTTGTGGCTGGGCAGAAGGGACGTGAACACAACACAGAATCATGGGAAATCATGTTTGGGGGGGGCTGTCTGTTTATTCTTAGCTCGGCTCTGGTCCAAAACATTTTTTCTATTGACGGCGGTGGTTATGTAAGCTGGTGTCCTGTGTTGTGACGGCAGAAAAGAGACCTTTAAATGCCCCCAGTCACTATGGGATTTCTGACAACTGCTAAGTGTTTGTGCTTAAACTGGTGATATTTTTGGGCTTGTCCACCCTTCTTTACCCAATTGCCTGAATGGAAATGTTTGTTTTCTCCCTCAGGTGTTTAGTTCACATGCCATTTGATCACATTTATATTTATGCATTACAATTAAATCTGAGAAGAGACTAGTGTTTTCCCCCTAAATTGAGTTTTGGATTATTTTACATCTGCTACAGTGACACTTTGACTCTCCTGCATGTTTGTCGTTCCACCCCTCCCAGCTACAGTATGTACACTCAAGTATTACGTGACCGGCTGATAAGGTTTCAGCACAAACCTACAGACGCGGTTTTAACCTGGTTTCTCTTAACCCCTTGACCTGGAAAAAGAACCCAGGGATCCGTTTACAGAAACCTTTTTCAAAGTGATTACATGATCTGAAACCCCCTGATAGTCAGTTAGTGAACAGGGCTGATGTCCAAACAGCTTAATGGAACCGCTGTGTGGTTCGGTTTCAGATTGCGGACGACGAGCTGCGGCTATGGAGCGAGCGCGTGGCACTGTGCCTGTCGGACTACGCCTCCCCCGAATGCAGCAAACCCAACCACAGGAAGTTGCAGTGGATCGTGTCGCGGCGGACCGCCCAGAACCTGCACAGCCACCGCAGCGTCCCCGAGCTGCCCACCATCCCCGAGGGCGGCTGGGACGAGAGCGAGAGGTCAGAGCCCCAAATATACCCGATCACAACACTAACTCTGTCAGGACCCCAAAAATGCCTGTGTGAGATACTCAGACAGAAAAACAAACCTGAATACCATACCAAAATAAACTAATTAATAGTAAAAGAATTACTATAAATAACTACTATAAGTGATCACATCCTTCACATAAGATTTAGTGTACAGTGTAGTGTTAATGTACACAAGTGCAAATATTGATCCAGGGATTTTAAGAGTTAACATGGAGTCCTTCAACTGATTGCAACTAGAAGTACTCAGCCCAAATAAAATAAGGGATGAAAATACCAGTGTCACATTAAATGAGAAGATATAAGATGTAAAAAAACCCAATAAGTTGGCAAGACTAACATTCACCGTTAATGTTGACCATGAGTTAATGGTTTCTGATACTTGGTGCAACAAACACACTTCAGACCAAACTTCAACAGTCAGACTCTGAGTCGCTTCATTGAACAATGGATCATGGTGGATTCACTTTTGATCCTGATGCAGATGGCAGACAGACATCATGTGACATCATAAGTTAGCTCACTGCAAACACTCCTGAAAACACCAGAGGCATTTAAAATGAAAAGGAAACTGACACACCCTGTGTGTCACCACACACACCTCGAATGTTTACATTTGTATAGCAACAGTGACAAACACTGTAAAAAGTGTCTGAGGTTGACTTGGATCAGCTGGAAGTGTCTTCACTTGTAGAAACTGGAGTAAGGCTCACTAGCAGATCAAATGATAGCCTTTGAGTATGGGCATTTCTTATAGTGTGCTGTGTGTGCAGTAACACTCCTGTTGCGGCAACCAGCTGTGCAGAAACACACAAGTTCCTGATATGTTGTAACATGTCACACACACACACACACCAGTGACTGTCTGAGCTTGTCGGGGCCTCTCATATCTTGCAACACCGTGTGATGGGATCTGTGCGAGGCACCGGTCACGTCCCACTGACAGACGTTTCCCCAACGTCACATGAGGCCCCAGTGCCCTACCTTTTATGTAACATGGAACTTTTTTTCCCCCTGGGTGTGTGAAAAGATGGAAGTAAACACAAAGACTTTACCCAGCTGAGTCCTGTAAACATTAACCCACAGATAGCTGCTCATCATCACGCCTGTTTAAATCCTTCTTTTCTAATGTTTGATTTAACCTTCTGCCCACACTCAGCAGATGTTAACACACTCACAGTCAGCTGCGTCACACTTAACTGTCGAGTCAGAAGATGTGATCAACTTTTTTTTCTTGCTGAATTGTGTAAAGTCCCTGCCTTTTGTCCTAGTGTGACGTAAATGCCAACAAGCTCAGGAACATAAATTCCTCAGAGGGCAAAGTGATGCTTATTGTATTGTTGTACTTTGATCCATCCATTTCTTACTCAGAATTTTTTAGTCCTTTGAAACACCAGAAATGATGACTAATATCTGGGTTGTGGACAAAACAAGACAATCAGCGGTGTGTGTAAAGCTCTATACGGCTGTGTATAGTGACAGTTTGTCCCTGTTTGTGTCTCTACAGCGAGGACGCCATGAGTTCAGGTGAAGAATCTCTCAGCAGTTCTCTGGGCAGTGATGCCGAAGGGCGCTTCTTCCCCATGTACCTCCGCCGCCCAAAATACCACCAAAACCTCCACGCCTGACGCCTCTGCCGCCACGTGCCTTGCCGTCTCCACCCCCAACCTCTTTGCTTTATCCTATGTTTTTAATTTATTGTTGTCATAAGCTCTGGTGCTGGTGGAGAATTGCACAAAAACAGGCAGCTGAGCAGTCCGGACTCTTCCTGGTAGACTTGGTAGATTTTAGTTTGTAGATGTGTTGGTGCATGAGATGTCACATTCCAGGACGCAAGATTTTATGGGTGTACAAGTGATGTTCTATAAAATTCAGACTCGTGCAGTCTGGTCTTTATGATGCTGAGCTAGCAGTCAGATAAAAAACATCTCAGCGCTGAGGCGTCAGTTCAGACCAGAAATGGTTCAGGTTATTGGCAAAAAAAAAGAGCTTAAACATGTGGTGTTTAATAGACTGTTATTAATCTAAGACTGTTTTTATTAAGAGTGAGGAGGAGTTTTCCTGATGTACAGAAGCTGAGTGGCTGCAGGCTCGCTGATCTTACCATCTTGATGACAAATTATGCCATTTTTATACATTGATAACAAGATGTCGTTCAACTGCTACCTTGAGATCAGAATTTTCTCATGTTGCAAATTTGGTGAAACGGGTTGAGTTTTCAACTGAAGCTCACAGCTTCATTATTAACATTAGTTTCAAATGTTGGAAGATCAAGCTAAACGGATTCAAAAGGTACAATGACATTCTGTCAGTGCTCAAGCCTGCTCATGTTTTGGCCTTTGTGGCCTGTTAGTCTGGAGATAAATGACTTCAACGTGAACTAGAGGTCTTCACAAGTTTGCCTGGGACCTGACCTGAGGCCCAGTTCCAAACTATATTCAGTCTAATCAGGCCTCTTATTATCTTGCCTTATTATCCTCGAGTGCATCTTAGATCTTTGTGTCCCACGTATCCGTTTCAGTTAGACTTCTGAAGTAAAGTACAGAAGAGATATTGAAGTCTTTATCTGGATCACAGGGTTGAAAACTAAATTTGAGCGTAGTCTGTCGTTTAAGATAACTGCGCTGTGATGTCGAGATGACAAATTGTTGGCGAGCTCAGCCGCTCTCATCTTCTGTAGTCAAGTTCATTTGCACAGTTTTCTTTTTATCTCATTTTAAGTGTTAAATGGACAGACTGGAGGTCTGGGTTTGAATCTGAAGGGAAACGCATCAGAAACTGTCCGCTGATTGCTTTGATGTCGGGGCAGTGGGGTGAAGTGCCTTGCTCAAAAGGCAGCAGGGAGAGAGATCTGAATCAGCCTGACTTTCCCCTTCAGATTCCAACCCCGCTGACACCACAGGGTGCTCAGATACAAATATTTAACGAGTGTGTGTTTGTGGACGTGTGTATGTACGACCCTGGTTAAAATTCAAAGTTGCCAATTTTAGTATGTAGCTTAAAAAAAGTATGGTGTTTTGAAACTGTTTAGAGAGAATGCTGTATGAACCAATAATGCTGACAGTGTCAAAAGTCTAAAAAATGTCAAAAATGTAAGAAAATGTCAATACAAAAACATGTAAAACTGTAAATGATGTACAAAAAAAACTGTTAATAGTTCTTTGTAGATATTAAGTTATTTATTCTCTTTTTGTCACCTGTACTGAAAAAAAGAAAATCTTATAAAAAATCTTATTTTTTAATCTGTTGTCTGTCTTTTTCTTCCATCATGTCTGAAAACAACAGCCAGCCTCTTGGTTTCATTTTCTAAATCAAAGTGAAACTCAACTGATTGACGCAGATACCTTTAGAGACATTTATTTGGAGACTGATGATGCTCTGCTCTCATTGGGTGGTATTTGTTTTATTGTGACAGAGTACTAGGGCCATTGTTAAGGGGATTTCCAGAAGACTGGTAATATTCTGAGAAAATACTAGTAAACAGAGAAATAGAGTTTTTCTTAAAGTCAGTGATTTTGTTGCTGCTTTAGACAACAGAAAGGAATGACATAAGTGATTAATTTAAACTAATGTAATGACATCTGTGCT